TTTGATGCATTTTCGGCCTTAAAATGGCCGCTATTCGGCTATCGTTAATCGGATTATGAAAAAAATGCATGTGCATATGTCCCATATAAGGTGTGATGTATGAGTGAAGTTTGAACTTAATCGGTCCATGCATGTTCGAGATACAGGTGATCACGGACGCACGGACGCACGGACGCACGGACGCACACAGGGCAAAACATAAGTCCCCGTTTTCGGACTGCGTCCGAACGGGGACTAAAAAAGGCAGGGTTTTAAAATGTCTAGTAAAATTACCTCCCATCCTATTCATTATCCGCGATGATTAGAATGGTATGATCCAACAAAAAAATGCGGAATGAATACAATTAAATACATACAATTGTGTACTAGTATTATGATTACGTGACCACTATTATATACAGTTTGTTGCTAGGCGTTGTTGCCTGTTTAGTGCATAGTTTAGCAAATTGATTTGGTATCAGGCGGGTTTGTTTCGGGCGAGTTGAATTTGGTGCGGGCTAATAGTAAACGTACTTGTTAAATGTATAGAAAAAACAGAACGAAAGGAATGGTACACGTCTCATGATTGGCAAGACGCTGTATTTTTCGATACCTTCGATTCCCTCGTGTTCACATTCTTTGTCTTGATTGGCAATAAGATTCCTACATCCATGGTTGTACCCACGGCAGGTCATTTCAAGTGGAATTCGCTAGCTGTTCAAAACACTATGAACACTATTCACAAGGGGTAATGATGTGACAAATATATAATTGGAGCAAGGCGCCGCATTTTGTGGGAACGACAATCGTATGCAAGTTCCATGCAGCCAATCAGAAAAATGAATGTGCAAATCTGTCGTTAGCCAATCAAGGCAAAGAATTGAACGGAATGATTACAGTGTCTGGCCAATCATATGACGTGTATCATTTCTTTCGTTTCGCCCAAACATTTAGGAAGTTCGTTAATATAAAAGTAACACATCTTCTGAAAATGTTAGTCTTGTGGTGCAATGTGAACATGTAGGAGTCATGGATGGTACGTTTTATTAACCAAATCGGGCGAGCTACATGTTGACAATGGTGCACACCAGTAGGTTATTTCCAGTCCAACTGCGAGATCTCTTGTATTGCGGGAAAAGCGCGGGCCGAACGTCTGCCACAAAAATCAGACAATTTAACCCAAATTTCTTTTTCCAAGGCTCAAAATCGAAAGGCCAATCTTTGACAGGGGAATAATGCATTTAGATATCCTTACCTCATCGAAATTGACCATTATCAAATGCGTATAGCACATTATTAAGTGTGAAAAAAAACCTCTCCCAATACTATCGCGTTTGTCGAACCCCACACAATGTTTGTCGCCACTACAACGCTATGATCTTTGTCCTGTTTTTAAGTTTGATTCACGCATAACGCGGGATCTCGCAGTGAAAGAAAATAGTCTATTTGCAGAACATCAATTAATGGTGCATCAGATATCGGAATGTGCTTGGTATCTAGGAAATATGCCTCACTACCACCTTCTGTGGTCATAACACTCAACTAAACTAAGGGGGTCATAACATTCAACTAAACTAAGGGGTCAAAACATTCAACTAAACCAAGGGGTCATAACATTCAACTAAACTAAGGGGGTTATAACATTCAACTAAACTAAGATGGTCATAACATTCAACTAAACTAAGGGGGTCATAACATTCAACTAAACTAAGATGGTCATAACATTCAACTAAACTAAGGGGTCAAAACATTCAACTAAACTGAGGGGGTCATAACATTCAACTAAACTAAGGGGTCATAACATTCAACTAAACTAAGATGGTCATAACATTCAACTAAACTAAGGGGGTCATAACATTCAACTAAACTAAGGGGGTCATAACATTCAACTAAACTAA